AAAAATGAATAAAATGAAGAGCAAAAGATAGATTTTATCGGAAAGATAGATTTTATTTAAAGATATTTTTTTCTCGTATACAAACATCCCAGTGAATATTATTCCACGACTACTCCGGTTACTCCGTTAATACTTTTGACGACTTCCGTTCGAGAAATAAAAAAGAATAAACTCATCGTCGATCGATAAAATACTCAAAAGCAAATGTTATACCCGATAAATAATAAGTCGATTTAATTCAATCCTATCATGAATTAGACATTTTCTGCAAAAATCCCAATAGACTAACGAACTTTTGAAGAAGATTCAACGTGCAGTTTTTGAAAAAGCGCTTGAAAAACTCTTTCCAATCTTCTCTTTTGAGTTAAACATGATGTCAACTTGTGCAGTGTTTTATGCTCAAATCGAATAACAATTACTTGAAATTGGTTTTGATTATAAATCTAAGTTAAAAAAGATGAGTTTTTCGGATTTTAGTTGATCTTTTAAAACTGAAGTTTTAAACGCTTTTTCATAATTTATTATTTTTTCTAACATGTGGAAAAAGTTTTGTGGTTTCTACAGTGTAAGAGCTCTCTATTTGCACTATAATAAATGAAAAAACGCGATCGAACGAGCACTTATGACTGCTAGAAAAATGAGCAAGTGTAAAAACGTATCCGAAAGTACCATCAAGTATTTTGAGTCAAGGATTGCAATTATTAAGCTGTATGGACTGATGAATCTAACTCATGGCAGAACCAGTATATCTAAACTAAACTTAAAAACTTTCTTTAGCATTATACGAACGTCAATACTATCTGCTATTCATTTCAAAATATAGTGGCCACGGATAGTTCTTTAAATACTTTTCGACAGAGATGAGAAAGAGACCTGGGAATTTTGCCATCTTTTCGTGAAGTAACCTTTTCAAACAGCAATGTAACTTTTCCAAATTTTGAAGTCGCAGTATAACTATGTTTTTAGCTAGTCCTAAAATTCCAGAATATAAGAGTCATCTGGACTCTTCACCTGCCATATATACAGAAAAAAATCTGTCTTAAAATAAGGCAGCATAGGTCGTTTGTAAAATAGTCATGCCGACCGTCTTAATAGAAGACGAAAGAGCATAAGACGGATCCAGAGTCTTATATTAAGAAGAATCGACATGACTATTTTACAAACGACTTCTGCGGCCTTATTTTAAGACGGAAAAAACTTTTTCCTCATAACCTAACGTGTGCTATTTCTACATCTTATTTTCGTTATTATCAGTTGAAAGATCTTGCTGGAGGGCTGCGAGAGCACCTCAACTACTGATCATATCAATGGTTTTAGTAAGAAAGCAAAATAAAGTGATAAGTCCTTGTCCTTCATATACGAGTGGGAAACACAAAACAAAAGAGATGAATGCCTTTCAATCACAAACGTGAGACGAAACAACGGCTTGCAGGAACAAGTGTCTTTAAATATAAAATGGATGAAAATAAATAAGATGGACAAAATAGTCAGACGTGTAAGCGGGATTCTTTTTGGAGTGCGCTTCAGACATAGCATCAAACCTTATCAGAACAGCTCTTCTCGGGGCTAAAATGGTGAAACTCCGTTGAAGGTCTTTCACTTTTAATAAGTAAAGCACTTCTACTTTGTATTAATATTGTAATATAGAGAGATGGTGCGAGACTTTTATCTATATTGAGATAAATGATAATGGTAATTAGGGATTTTCACTTTATTTCACATTTTTTTACTAAAAGTTAAATATTTTTTCGTGCTGTTTTTGGGCTCAAAGTGAGATAATAATTTAATTTTATAGATGGATACACCTGGAGAGGAAGAGAGAGGAGGTAGAAAAACATGCCAAACTCAAGGTTTTTTGAGTGCAAAACTTCAACTCCTCTTTTGGAGATACTGAAGGAGTTTCACAAAAGACACTCTTGACTATCCTCCTTGATAAAGATAACAGCTATACTGCTGCTTCAAATTTTCTCTGTCGTCTTAAAAGGCTACATCGAGAAAACATTTTCAGACTTATTATTTATGAAAAGATTTCACTAAATCTCCTCTAGCGAATGGCAAAATCCCCAGGTTCCTCTGTTATTTATACGAAAAGGTACCCAGACAAATATCCGTAACCTTTATGTTTTGAAACGAATGGTTGTATAAACGAATGTCCTTTGATTTATTTTCAATATACGCTATTTTATACCGTATTTTTGTGTTACGCTTCGTAAAGTAAGAGTGAATAATGCTATTTTTATCATGTACCACTTTCATATTGTTGGTCTATATTACTTCATTATGTCAAAATTCAATGGCTTTAATTCAAGGTGCATTTATGACATATACGAGTGTATCTAGTTTTACAAGATGTCTAATCACGGTAAGTTCTCTAATTTTACCAGTAATTAGAATCTTAAGAATAATCACAAAAGTTAAAATAAAAATCAGATAGCTATGTCAAACTTACAAAGTTTCAGCTGCTTATCGCTAAATGCAATTATTTTTGCATTTCATTCAAGCTATTCAAACTTACTATTAACTTTTTTTCTCCTAGATTACATTCAAAGATATAACATTGTCACATATATATTAGAAGCAAATGCGTATACATGTCGTAGATACCTATTAGTTTTCTCTTTTTCTTTGTTAATCAGTTAGTTAATATATATTGTTCTATATACATGATTGACCTTTTATTTTGTAAATATGAGAGAATCTAGAATCCCCCATGTGTTTGTTTTACTTTTTATTTGTTATATGAACGTGTGTATCCTGAAACAATTTACTATTGAACTGATGTGTGTAAAAATAACTACGCTTTGTATGTTTCGAAGAAAGAGTTACGTTTCCTTGAGAAAATGCCAAATTTATAAAATAAAAAATGCTATTTCTCTAGCTATTAATATTTTTTTAAAAAATCCAAAATAAAAAATCCTTTATTATAGTTTTTTGGACGTATAATATATTATAAATAATATTGTTCAGATTATAATAACTATCCAGGGTTTAAGGTATTTATATATATAAAAGAATTGTAAAATACTTTTAAATTTTATTCAACATAAGTAGGCATTATTTGTTGTAAATATTTTTGTTAGTTCAAAATGAACATGCAAGAAACAAACACGGAGTATGTACTCTAATTCTGTTGCTATTTTAAATCATATACATACTTCTTAAAAATTTCATGAATAAAATTTCATTTTTAAGTGCATGTCACAAACTATTTCGGTAAATTTAGTTATAGTCAAATCTTTAGCTGATTAGATAAGTACATATCAATGCCATTTTTTTTTACTAAAAGTTTGTCTGTTAGATTTCGTAAATAGTAATCAAACTCGTTGCCAGTGCATGAAATTTTTCAAAAACTCTGGTCTGATCCGGCGACATCCGTGACGATCTCTGGTATATACAGGGTTGGAAAAAATGTTTTTCCGGGAGGTCAAACTACAAATGTTATAAAAATGAATTATATACCAAATTAATACTCATAGAAAATGCGATTGATGAGTATAATTGATATTCCGTATGACGATTATTGACTGTAGAATTATGGAAGGTTCTATCGGATGCGTCATAATGAATAAGCCTAGCGATATTTTCTATTTTTCTTGTGCTCCTTTAGAACCTCACGGTTAGTGTTTGTTTTTATAAGATGCGCCACGAAATACTCTACAAAACCATACCTAAACGTTAATTTTAGAACTTCAATCAAGAAAACTACGCAAAGTATACGAAAAGCGAAAAAAATGAAAATTTTGTAAATTTTTCGACTTTTTTCTCCTGGTATTATTTTCGTAAAAAGGTGTAGCAAAAGTGAGAAGTCAGTTCTTTTTGTACTTTTGATTATGCTCTTTCTCGTGGTCTATAAAAAATGTTTTTAGAGCGGATGATGTGCTGAAGAACGAAGTTTCAAAAATACGTCAGAAATTGGCGGCGCCCCCGCCCGCCGGGGGGGGGGGGGGGGGGGGTGGGGGTGGGTGGGGTGGGGGGGGGGGGGGGGGGGGGGGGGGGGGGGGGGGGGGGGGGGGGG